GCAGAAACGAACCTTTTGTGCGTATAGCTGTGTCAGGTTTCAAGTAATGAATAGCAACAGCTCTGTACCCTGTCAGGTTCTGTCAAACGTATCCATTAACGCTTGACCACGTTAGTATCATGAGACTGTATGAAGTCTTTGAGTCCTATTGCAATCATTTGTGTTGACCTCTGACATCAATGACATCTGTCCATTTCCGACATTTTCAATGCTTGCATCTGTAATCTTGGCCCCCCGATCTTTACTACTTTAAAATTCTAATCTTTCAACCTTTTCTAGAACGCCTGGCTTGTTTTGGCCAGGAGGGCCACAATGGATGGCTATAAAAATTATTTACCGAACGAAGTCCGCGACATTATGAATTGCGTGACAATATTACGAATAGGATGTGCAAGCAGGAATGCCTTCATTCGAAAGGATAAGTTCTGAGGCCAGATTTCAAGGAAAGTGAAGACGCTGAAAGCTTTGAAAGAAACTGTCAAGTGTGTTTACGGGCCATCTCTTGAATATGGGAAGGAACAATCATTTTCTTTCACTGATACGTGGAAAAAAGAAAACAAGACAGTAAACCGTTTACAGAAAGAAACATTAAAATCATTTGTGCTTACTTATCTGCTAGCCATTGAATTCTTTTGTGATCTTTTTGCGATATCTATTTTTAAAAAGTTTCTGTGTTAATAATTATATTATGTTAATAATTTTATTATCAATTCAACAAATTAATAATTAATGCAGAAACTTCTTTGAAAAGTGGACGGGATCGGGATTTACAGGCAAAAAAGGGCGGGATGGCAGGATTACCAGGAAAAAATGGGAGGGAAAGCGGATTCTGAGAACCCTATTGTAGACCCACGTCTCTGGATCTACACACACAGTACAGTATGATGTACAGCAAAAACCATGGATGTTTTGCAAAATACCACAAGAGGTGTTTGAAAATAGAGTATTTGTATTACCTAAGATTGTGGGACTTGATCACTTGAAAAGTATACATATTAGCTCTAATTATACCAAGCCTACATGTACACTATGAGCAGAAATGAAATGTAACAGGTGTCTGGAAAACCCGAATAGCAAATAGTGAATAGTCACGAATAGCGAATAGCGAATAGTCCCGAATAGTGCGAATAGTCTCGAATAGTGTGAATAGTGGCGAACAGTCGGGAACAGTGGCCAATAGTGACGAATAGTCATCAATAGTCACCGCTTTAGATCTAATATCCAGCGTTCATTAATTATCCAAATAAGCAACAGAATTTCAGTGAATTTATTACCTTTTCTTCTCCAGACTCAGGCTAGTAGGCTGTCCATCGCCTACATTATGAAAACAGAAAACACAAGGATAACCTAATAAAGACGTATTTACGCTTTTGCAGCGGTTAAAACAGAATAAATTACGTTTAGAAACACCTTTCGTCCTGATAAGCGTCTGTGCTTTTTGCTACGAGGTTGACTGCGAGATACTAGGTACCCTATTTGCTACTATTTGCCACCATTCGCCACTATTCGCCACTATTCGAGACTGTTCGCCACTATTCGCACTATTCGTACTATTCGCCATTCGCTATTCGGGACTATTCGCTGTTCGCTATTCGCAACTATTCACTATTCGTTATTCGGGCTTTCCAGACACCCAAATGTAACTTAATATCGCATCTTACCACATCTTTTGCCCGTGTCCCAAATTCACTCTTTTGTCTTTTCGAGCCTAGAATGTCCCTGGTCGCCTCTTTAACACCCAGGGCCTTATTTTTGGTCCGTATAGTTTTTACAGTTGCTTTGAAAAGGGCCGTTCTGTCCATATTAATCTATCTAATCACAACAAATCCAGCTGAAGTTCGATGAAAACGACAAGGCACCACTCAGTGACCGCGCCTTATCTACATTAGTACTTTGTAGCCGCGCAAAATACTGGCAGGGCACTCTGGGAATTTGGCTCGAGATAAACATGGCGGGTGGCGGCCAGCTTTTCGTGGTTTGCCGATCAATCTTCATCCTCTCGCTTCTTGTGGGTAAAAACTCAGCTGATGGTGATGCTGTTGATGAAAAGTGCTTTGACGAATCATGTGGTAGGAAGTATGATCCAGGGGGACCACTTGTGCTGTGCAATTACTTGTAAGTTGCTTAGTGATCATGAAGCTTGCACTTTTGTTACGATAACAAGCTTATCAATTTGCTTGGCTTAATTACAGGTAGCTTATTAGAGTTTATCGTATCACTTTAAAGGCATGAAAATCCAAAATCCTTAGTAGTCTAGCCTCCTGATTTAGCACATTTTACTATACGATACAGTGGAATAAAACATTATGTATACTTACAGAGTAAAACTGATATACCTGAATATATATTGAAAGATTTTGTTTTCCTATACGAATGATACCGGTTTCGCCCCATGGCAAGTTCGCCCCCACCAAGTTCGCCCCCACTATAAAATTTCTATTTCGAGTTCGCCCCCAACATTTCGAGTTCGCCCCAAAATTTTGTGTTCGTGTTTACGTAGTTGTCATCGAGTTATTTAACATTTTCGAAGAACCATATCAGTCTATGTATGTTTATGTCATCTCGCCATCAGGGAGTCTTGCCACCAACGAACTCCCAGTCGCCACCAAGCGAAGTCACCTCGCCACCAAGCGAAGTTTCCTCGCCACCAGTAATCTAATAAGGCAGTGGATAAAAGAACAAGGAATAATCTCTATATGCGACTCGATCTGGCTGGGGGCAAACTCGATCAAGTTGAGTCGATGTAGGGGCGAACTCGGTGGGGGCGAACTCACCATGGGGCGAAACTGGCAGCTACCTCCTATACACTTGAACCCAGCTATTCAAACTCAGGTATTTCAAACTCCCTGTTATTTCAAACTCAAACCATTTCCCTTGGATTTGCCCTTCAGTCATTTACTATCGACTATTTTGAACTCCCACTATTTCAAACAGAGAGTTCAAAAAAGCAGGATTCTACTGTATTTCACATTATTCTACTCCTCAGACCCATGGACTTTCTGCAGTGTGATCCCCCAGTTGATTTTAAAGCAAATGAAACAGCAAGAGAAGAATCTGGTTATGGATGCACTAAAGTAAGTTCATACAACTTGCATTGAAAGACAGGGCATTTCTTTCATGCTTTGTGAATGGGCTAATTTTTTTCCCGTGAAATGTGAAGAAGCTTGTTTTTGTCTCATGAATCGTGATTTTATGACAAAATAATATTGTTGTCAATGACAATTATTGTTATTTTGCTGTTCATTTTTGGATCTCTGATGTCCTTGATTTTCTTTGGGATTATTGCATTCACCTGCTCCTCCCACCCTATCACTTAATACATGTAGTGAGGTATAAATTTTGTACCTATCAGTCTGTACCACAGTCAGTTCCCGAGTTGCACTGAGGTCAAGATACACTGTTGTTGCCTCCAAAGGGACAGCCTGAATCCGTGCTCTCATACAAGGTTGTAGGGGGAGGCAAGAGAGTGATGAAAAATGTTATAGTCCCTTTGA